CCGTTTCTCGTTTGCACGTTCGTCGCATTCGGAGCAACGACGTATCCTTTCTCAGCGCGCGGCACAATCTGTAAATCGTTAAATCGGAAAGCAAACGGTCGAGAGCACGTGAGGAAACCGGCAAACAAAGCCCGCTCTGCGAAATGCACTGCTCACCTTCTGTGGTCCCCCTATACAAACAATGCCGAAAATTTTATTTAAGATCGGGTCGATATATTCGTGTTTGTGCGTGTTTCCAGTCGTGTACGTTTCGCGTATTGAGTCATTAGAACAAAGTTCACCGCCAGAGGCGAAATTCAACGAGAGTATTTTATGCCGAATATCTATCTAATATTTATACCAGCTCTCTAAAATTCAGTTGTAGAATACAATGAGAAATTAAGCAAAAACTGATAATTACTTATCGATCTGAAAATACTATTGGGTTGTATAATTAGTAATTTCGAATTTTTTAATGAACTACATTTCTATACCGAGAGAAAATATTAAAAAATTTTCCTGCGAGAGAAATATAAATTTTATTTCACAGAAATAAGATTTATTTCCTACTTATTTATTCTACAAATAAATTTTGAAATATTTTTTCTCAGTGTATATATATATATATATATATATATATCGTTATAATTAAAAAAAATAATATATATGCAAAAAATGACAGGATAACGGATCATACATGGAGGAAAAAGAATAGTTCAATGAATCAACGTGACGATAAAACGGACCGAATACATTTTGACTGAGAGAGACAGAATTTCTAATTTCCATCAAATGTGATTCTTTGAACCAGAAATTCCATTTCCTTCAACGAAATCGCGTTTGATTCATTCATCGTTACGTTAATTCGATCAAGTTTTTTCTCCTTGTAAATAAAAAACGGTGCCTCTAACGACATAAAAATATAATTCCCTTTTACTTGAAAAACCCGAAGTTATTTCGTAATACACAACCTAGTATCATCGGAGTAGCTACGAGAAGATACAACGCGTTCAGCGTAAATATCCAGACGGACTTTTTTAGATGTTTTTCCGACCGGCGCACACCGTGTTTCGATAAACAGCCTCGGTTCTATTACAATCGTAAAATAGATGGAATTAAATATATATTCCACAAATAGCGACGCGATAACAGCAAAAGCTTGTGAATCGCTCAGCCGCAAAAACGACGAGCTCAGCTGCGAATGAACGGGTCAATGACAGCGATCGGTAGCCGCGATATACGCTAGATTTATCGTCGGTACGATGTTCGACGTAAATGTTGATGAATGACGGCATAGCAGGAATAGTTATCCCCGAGCACCTTCACGAATGATATCACTCGGCTCTCCTACGCGTCAAGCGGTTATTAAAAACGACGGTGTGCGTCGCGATGTGCGAGCCGTAAACGAGCGAAAGGTGTATTTAAAAGTGTGTATGTATATGTGTGTGATTCACCGTCATTGGCTCGGATCACCGAGGTGTAATTGCGTTATGTAATACGAGACCGCGCGGATTACGACGGAGTGCCGGTCGTTCGAAACCGATCCCCCGGCGAGAAACCAGTCGGTGCTGCCGCGAAAGAACATTCACTTTTCGCTCTCGGCTCGTAATCAGCGAAAATAGCAGCGCAACGTTTCCCGGCCGCTAAACTTGCACGCGTCACCGACTTCGTCTCATCTTTCTCGATATACTGAATCATCGAGATTAGATTCTTTATCGGTCTGTTGGAACACGCGCGCGAATCGATGAGATTTCGTCGAGTGAAAATAAATCGGGATTTAGCGGGATTTGAAGGAGTAACGATGGAAACTGTGCGATTTATCTCAAAACGAATCGAAAAGATATCTTTGTTATTTACGGGAAAAAGTACCGTTGCATCGATAAAATCGGCCAACGGCGTTGTGATACGAGTAAATTGAATAAAAAAAAAATTTATTCGAATTATAGCGCTGTCAACCAATTCTATTGACATATCAGCGTTTTTTCCGAATGAGACTTGGAAAAAATTTGGACAATTTTCGATACCAGAACATGCGTTTGAAGTACGCAAAGTTAAATTGCATTGAATTTTTCATTCACCATCATTCCGAAAATCGGATATTTCGTCATGATATCGCTTTAAATATTTGCGCTAAAATCAGAGACTGGTGAGTACGAATTTGACGTAAAATCACGTCGTCCTCGTTACAATGTGGCGTATTGTGTTCTTCTGTAAATACAGGCGGTTAAAGGGACGCGTGGGGACCGGCATTCATTTCGAGATCCATATCGGAGCGCGTACGATATTGCGTTCATACCGAGGCAAGGGTCGTAAACGATAAGCGAGTGTGGCGTGTATGTAGAACGTCTGAAACGTCGCGGACAAACTTGCTCAGCGTTTCATGTCTGCGTCTGCTGCGAGGAAAATAACGTCGCACAATCATTGACAGAGCGCGCGCTTCTGCGCTTAAATCGCCCGGAGCGAGGCAGTTCGACAATCAAAACGCTAAACACGTCTTTCGAAATTTCGGACCGCTCCGCTTCACGCCCGGCGTACGTTCAACGTGTAACTTTTCTCCATCCAATTTCGAATTTTACACAGAGAGAAAGATTTCTCCTTTGGATTTAGTATTTCTGTTTGACTAAAATTTCTTTCACGGAAACAACATATACAAAATATTATTTGTTTGAGTATACATTTTCATCTCATTCAAGAAAACTCTATTATTTAATAAGAAGAACGCTACTATTTGAAATATCTTTTAACCAAATAAAATATTATATGATTAAAATAAATATGTGAAATGAAACAAATAATTTTTTTGTAAGAAAATTATCTTCCGTTTCAAATTTTTTTATTTAAGATAAAGATATATATTTGTTGAAAAGTCTAACAATCGTACTTATTAATCGAAACATTAGTTTCTCTGGAGCATGCCAATGATGAAATTTGTGTTTGGATGCAATAAAATTGATTAAATTTGAAGAAATCTTTTTCTCAGTGCACTCTGAAAAACGACACCGTGAAGGAAACGGAAAAAGACGAAGAACTTAACGATCTAGCTCGTTAAAAAACTTGACGTCATACGATGAATCATTGTAAACATTGGCAAAAAAATAGAACACACGCAACACATACACGTACCCACCTATCCTGATATATTTACGTTCTTTAGCAAGTTCTTGCGAACTGAAGTAGTATCGCCGAAAATATCTTACTTATCTTTCGAAGTTGGCATTCGGTGTTAAGGCGAAACGCGAGTATGTAAATTGGATCCAGCGCTAAATGCGCCTCGAGAGCAGTCTGCCACTCGCACTTAATATTCGAGTCCAAATATCCAAAACCGAAAGTGACCGAGAGAACCCGAGTCGAAATTTTGGATCTACACTAACGCCGCAAATGCCTTCGAGCTCAAAGGACCAATGGGAAATCTAGAGATTATATATGTATATCGCAACATTGCGCACAGGCTGTTGTTCTACGACGCTACAAATGGTAACTTACTGCAGTTTCCTTCGTGTTGAGGTTTGAAAATTAGTACGTGTATATATATATATATATAGATGTAAGATATACATTAACAGGTATGATATAATGACAAACTTTATTTTTATAGCCTCCTTGCATTATTATATTTTATTACACGGACGAAAGAGAGTGGTTGTGAATTAACATGACAATGAGCGAGCCAAGAACGCGATTTGGTCGGAGAGAACAGAATTTCTGATTCCTCGAATCAAATTCGTTCCTTCAGAATCAGAAATTCCGTCTCCCTTCAACCAAGTCGCGCTTGGTTCGTTCGTTGTTAACCAATCTTTTCTCTCCGTGTGGCATTGGAAATTTCGAGAGAGCTAAAAAAGAAAGAGTTGTAAAGACAAAGACAACCAGCCGTGTGTAAACATCGGTAGGAACTTAAATTTAGACCGGGATGCAATAACAAGGTTGGCCATAAGTAAAAAGGAGGAGGCAGATGCCTCTCGAGATGAGATACGCAAGCAGACATTCACGAAAATAACAGTGAAGTAAAAGTATCGACACGTATATAACTCTGCACACTCTTGTTATTTTGATTTCTTTAAATATGAATATTTCAAATTCTCAACATAGAAAATATGTACAGTCCCTTGGCCGTATTATTAGGCGCACTTCGATTTTTTAGTAGAACACAAATTAGGAGAAGAAAAGCTACTAATTTTATATTTACTCGTTTAGAATAATTTTCAAGGTCGCATTCAAAACTCGCGTCTATTCCCGTTATCAGCAATGCAGCTAGCGCGGGTTCGTGCGTGTTCAAGGTCACCTTGGCGGCCGAGTGAAGTGGCGTCATAAAGCAAATATCTTTCATAGAATAAGGATTCCTTAACATGATTCGATCGATAGATGAGCCGTATTTTGTAAAGCTGATCCTCGGGAGTCGACGAATTATTAAAGATTAAGATGCGTCTAACAATATGGCCAAGCATTGTACATATATTTCATATATACAAGTATTTTATGTTTGAAAATTACACTCGCATTTAAAGACCGAAACAACAAAAGTATCCGCAACGAGGTACGCGTCCCGGCATTTGAAGCTCAGAGCCGCAAAATTTCGACCCGGGAACGCGAAACGCTCGCGCCATTTCGCGCGATCGAGGATGAGCTTCGGGTTTTGTTACGCCTCGCGCGCGCGCCCACACGATCACTCGACGTATCCGCTTTGAAACCGCGCGATTCGGCCGGCTAATAACCAGCATCCATGATTTAAACGCGCCCGTATATCTCGCCCCGACGCGCTCACATGGACGACGCTCCGTGTGTACGTGTACACACGCGTTGGTTAAAATCCGGAGCGCGTCGAACGTTAAAACGCGCGCGCCGAGGATGCACGTCTGGTATCGTTCGCGCGGCGGCGACGGCGGCGGCGACGACGCTCGTTATTGAGCGAGCCCGAAAACGCCGTACACTTTCGTGCGCGTGCACGTACGACGACGCCTCTCGCGTCCTCGACGAAGGGCAGCGAAAAGCGAGAGCGCGTTGTCACCGGCATCATTGTCTCTCACCTTTCTCAATGGCGAGATCCCACCTGGTGCCTGTCGGCCCCGCAGCGACGACGGCTGCGACAGCAGGAACAGCAGCAGCGGCGATGCGGTAATCCAATATGGCAGCTCACACACATGTCAAAACAAACGCACCGAGAAAGAGAGCGAGAACGGAGCCGCGCGCGCGACGTCCCGAGGAGACGTGCTCCGCTTTCGGGATCGTCCTTTCCGATCCTCGCGAGAGAGAAAGAGAGCCCCGCTCGGCGACGCTCGGGGCACGTGCCCGACGCGTCGCGCGACGCCGGGTGTGTACGAGCGTCGCGCGGAAAATCACTGTCGCCCCGCTCGAACGATACGACTACTACTACGGATGACGTGGGAAAGCGGAAGATGAGGGGGAAAGAGGATGGAAAGAGAGGTAGAGAAGGGGGCGAAAAACACTACCCCGCGCGTACTACGAAAAGATACGTACACCGCGAGCGCCCACCGCTGACTGCCAGCGAGACGCGCGACGCTTGGCAGCGAGGCGCAGGCGAAGGGTGGGGGAAACGGCGCGCCTCAGTGACGCTCAGCCGAGACGCGCTGCTTCGCCTCTCGACGGCGCGGAGAGACGCTCGCTGTTAGTTTTGTTTTCATACTTCCCACGTGCTGCTTTTCCTGCGTGCCTCGCCGCCGCTGCTGCTGCTCTTCTTGCTCATACATGGTCCTTCTTGTATCTCTTTCTAAATACGTGAGTGCCAATTCGGCGGACAAGGGAAATAACGTCCGCGTAGTGCAGGGGGGCAAGATGACGGAGCGAACGGGATGACGACTGATACTGATTTTCTAAGTTAACGATAAATAACGAGTCGATGGCCAACTTGTTAGAGGATTCTAATATTAATAAATGATCTGTGTTGTAGTTTGATTTCTATCTGTCAACGACAGTAGATGATGTAAGTAGAGTAAGAAATGGATTTTGAACATATCCATGTGTAACTTTGTGTGGTGTTTCTCCGTAAAGAAGCAATTGCAGCAAATATTATCACTTTCTTCGTAAAAGTATTATATAATGTATCTAAAAACGCATATAATAACGTATTACGTCATTTTTCACTTTCCATATTACAATATGTGACCGTGAAATAAAATGATATATCATGTGTGAATATCATGTACGGGCAAAATGATACATACTCGTGTATTTTATATTTTAAATTATACTATTATAATAATTGTTCTTATTTTTGTTCCTGTCTAGATTTTATTTTCTTCAAATTATGCTGTCACAAACATTTCTTGCGAATGTTAGGCGAGTTTTTAATTACTCACAAAGAAAATTCATCATTATTTTTACGTTTACTACGGAAATGAGGAAAAACTGACAAATTTCAATGCAGTCATCTTGCCTCCTTTTCCCCTGTATGATATATTTTCGTTCTCAGTCGTAATATATGAGCTACCTATTTCTGGATCGCGGTTTAATAATAGATGAATATTTAACATTAAAGAGAGTGCACAGTTTCGAGAGTGTTGCAAAGAGAGAGAGAGAGAGAGGAGGAGAGAACAGGATGTGGAGAGGAATCTATATTGTTTATCAAAATACTCCGAGAACGGTCTATTTCGGCAATATTTTAAAATCACCGACTCGAACATTCGTCGTGCCGCTTGTATATCGATCGACTTTTTCTACGATGTCCGTTGCGTCGAAGAGAATTTGTCCACCACCGCGCAACTTTGCGTAATAATCGATACCTTAATTGAGACGCGACAGACTATAACGTACCTATAACGCAGGAAAATCAGTTCCGTGCACGGAGCACAATGATTAAAACGTTAACTACGAGGTTGCGGCGGCTTTGCACTCAAACTTGCCGAAACTCAATAAAATAATTACGTCTAATATAATACGCAAGTAACAGAGGCGGGCGCAAGAAACGATGGCTGGTAGAGGCGGGTGTGTAGGAGTTACCGCGCAAAACCTGCAGGCATTAGCCGAAAGGCAACCGTTAGAACGAGAGCCACCAACAAAAACGTCGGCCGCGAAACTAGGTAGGATTTAAACGCGAGGGCCATTCGATTCCGATCAAGAGGAAAGCTCAATTACGAGCGAATTAACAACAGGCTTTGGCCGACCGACCACTGTTGTAACAGATATATTTTTTTAAATAACCAGATATAGATGTTGAAAGGGAGATGTAAGCAGATGCAAATACAGATATAAATTAGAAATAAATAATTAAACACAGATACACGCACGCGTGTGATTCGACATCTCGGAAGGTTGCAGAGGTAAAGGCGCTTATTGTCGAATTGACCGAAAATTAATCGAGTAAACACAAAATTAATTTTCCTTCTCCTCCTAATCTGTGTTCTACTAAAAAATCAAAGTGCGTCTAATAATATAGCCAGGGACTGTGTAGTTCCCTTTCGGTATCTGTATTTGAATCCAGTTACTTAAAAAAATGTATCTTTTACAGCACTGCAATTAATACACACTATGTATGTTTCGAATGACGAACAGAATTCAGCTTGCGTTGTAACAAAGTTTGTAGAATTGCGTGCGATAAAATGCAATACATAAATTCAATCCATCGTATAAAGTATGAAATAAAATCATATGAAATAATATTATCTTTCACTCTGCTTCCCTCCCTCCCCACTTTCTCTCTCTCTCATTTTCTCTGCAAATTACTGACTCAAGTTATTAGCACTTAGTCCAACAACGCACGTCACTTGTTGAACACACATCGAAGCGCTAATTTCCGCGCGGCACGGCGAGAGAGCAATTAGCCGCGATCGAGGTAAATGGTCGTCACAATCCGGCGACACTCATCTTCGCACAATGCGCGCGTCGATTTGTCCTCGAGCAGGATCCCCCAGGTATGTAGTATGCGCACCGTTCCATCCTGCTTGCGCGCGCGCGGATCATTTAACGCATTCTGCACCACGTTTTCGCGACACACGTTCGCTCCGGCCGGAAGGTCGCGAAGCGGAGAGAGCTGCTCGTTTTCCCCGTTTTCAGACGATAACGCGAGGGGGAAGAGAATCGATGCAGCGCTTGTCGCCGAGGGGGCAATACGCGAAATTCGACGCGGTTTTACGGGTGCGCTAATACGAAGAACGGCGAGCGCGAAACGCCGCGCCAGGTGTGCGTGGATGGGATTTATACGCGCGTAGCGTCGCGGAAACGCGAGAACACGTGGCCCGGCTCGGTCTAGCAAAATGTTAACGAACTCGACCCGGTAACGAGGCGCGAACGGCGAAATAATTTGCGCGCGCGCGGATTATTGCCGAGCAATCGCTCGTACATCGTGCGTGCTACTAGTTCTCGGCTATGAGTTAAACGAAACTTGATAATCGATCGATTCGCAACGATTGGCACGCGCTCTGCTAAGTGTTAGGGTCAACCGAGAGTAAAGCTCGATGAGGCACCCAGCTGTGCACGTACATGGACGTGGATATAAATCCGATACATAGAGAAGAAAGACTGGGTGAATTAACAAGTGACGATTCTTCGAATCTAATCAATTTTATCGCATTAAAAGATATTTCTTCATCGGCATACCCCGAAAATGCGTTGTATATATTTCGACGATAAATCGTATTGAAATTGAAATTTGGATTTGATATAATAACAATAACAATTCCTCAAAGAGAAATGAAAAGGCAACGTTGGTGCAATCAAGATGGGGCCTGCGGAATGTTTCGAAAGTGTCGATCGTCGTGATCCCAGCGAGATGACGTGCACGTCATTGACTGGCCGGTGACGATGACTGTTCGAGTAAAAATACATTTCGGCAACCTAAGTCAAAGAACTAATAACTAGCTAATACAGGCTGGATGAAATTTTCCAGCTAATTCGAAGTTCAGTTTCTACCGGGATGGCGAGTGGCTGTGTATGAGTTTGCCCTTTTCGTTTATTGTTTGGATGCTCTCGCGCGTTGCGTATGTTATTCCGTGATCGAGTTAGTACGTTTCGAGCCGATGAGCGACGCACATATCGCGATAAGGAGCGTGTGATATAGGTTTAGTTTATCATTTCCGCCGGCTCTTAAAATATCTCCCCGTACGTATCGCGTTAATTGACACGCGCTTCTCCGTTCGAATCGTATCCATGCGAGTATCAGTGTCAGTGTCAGTAGCGGTAGAGAATATTCGGATGCCACGACGGAGCAGTCGGAAACTGGGTTACTGAATGCCAGGACGAAGGAAGCAGGACGCCGGGGATGCAGGTAGTGACTCATCATGCACTTTCAGGTATGTCAAATCACTTATTGTGCGGGATGATTGTGATATGTTTCCGATTTTAATGGGCGATTGATCGATGAGCTCACCGAGAATAAGGAGATAATCGAGTTGAAATTTATGCCGGTATTCGGTAGTCCGTCGTATCATCTGATAAATAATTAGAGCTTCATGAATCTTCGATTACTCGTCAATCTATAATACGCATCTATTTCGTACAGCAAGAAATATCGATTCAAACAGTCGAGTAATAAAACGGTTCATGAATACAAATCTGCAATTAATTGCGCTCTCAATTAAAGATTGCAGATTATTTGCAACCGTGAATATACATCGATCTCCAAATTTCGTAAATGCTGATAACACAAGATTGGTCCTTCAAGTTCGACAAAATTAGTCGGATTAATGCGAAAGCGAAATTTCGACTCGGCGGTATCGACGGGTTGAATTGAAAGCGCAAGTAAAATTAAGGATTCTTTTGTATGCAACAAACTGTTCCACCAAGCCGAGCGTAAACTTGAATACAAAATGCGGAGAGGCAAGCGAAACTTAATTGGGAAGAAAAGCGAAGCAATTAAAGACCGGAGAATGTTAAACGCATTCGAGTCTTCCTCTCCTCCTTCTGCTCCTCTTCCTGTCGTTGTCGGCGCAGCGACTAGTCAAGGAAGATCAATATAGTCGAAAGATAATAAATCGCGACAGTCTCGTTATTCCGCGGATAGAATTCATGCGATACAAACGAGACTGACTAATCGAGGCGTCCTCTCGTTTCCGTTTGCATTTCACAACGAGAAAACGCTTCCCGCAACCCTAAAGTCGCAACCTTAAAAGCCGCCTTACACGAAGTCAGGAAATCGATACAGCTGGCTATCGCCACTTTTTTCGAGTGTGTAAAAATCTATAATTGAATATAAGTGCATACATATATACAGGGGGGACATGTGCAAGGAAAATAATGTCGCCGTGACCGAAGAAACCGTGATTACCCGACACAACACGTCACGATGGTAATTCAGTTATAACAATCAGCGTGCATTATGGCGCCCGCTAACGAAGCGCCACTAAGAAAGAACGGAAAGCTTCCATTATCGTAATAACGAAGGCGGAGGGCGGCGGGGGCGATCAAGCGGAGCGGACTTCATTAGCGTAATTATTCGCGTGTTCTTCCGGGATGTGTCGGCGTCCTTAGCGAAATATTCACATACTTTGTATTTACGTACGTAATGCAAAACGGTGAGTATACGGCCGCGCATTCTCGC